GGGGGTGCAATTGGGGATGAAATTAAAAAAAAATCACAGAAGACACAAATGGCTTTGTACACCTTTTTACTTGAGATATGTTATGAAGATAGCTATTTTCTTTATGCCTGATACCATGCTGAAGTTTGTCGAGCCGTCTGAGGGGGTGAAATTAAACAAAAAATCATAGAAGCCACAACTGGCTTTGTACACCTTTCTGCTTGGGATATGTTATGTAGTTTGCTCGTTTCTTCATACCTGATAGCATGCTGGAGTTTGTCGAGCCGTCTGAGGGGGTGCAATTGGGGGTGAAATTAAACAAAAAATCACAGAAACCACAAATAGCTTTGTACAACTTTCTGCTTGGGATATGTTATGTAGTTTACTCTTTTCTTCATCCCTGATAGCATGCTGGAGTTTGTCGAGCTCTCTAAGGGGTGCAATTGGGGGTGAAATAAAAAAAATCATAGAAGCCACTACTGACTTTGTACACCTTTCTGCTTGGGATATGTTATGTAGTTTGCTCTTTTCTTCATCCCTGATAGCATGCTGGAGTTTGTCGAGCCGTCTGAGAGGGTGCAATTAGGGGTGAAATAAAAAAAATCATAGAAGCCATAAATGGCTTTGTACACCTTTCTGCAAGCGATATGTTATGTAATTTCATGGTATCAGGCATAAAGAAAATAGCTATCTTCATAACATATCTCAAGTAAAAAGGTGTAAAAGCCATTTGTGGCTTCTGATTTTTTTTTAATTTCATTCCCAATTGCACCCCCTCAGACGGCTCGACAAACTCCAGCATGCTATCAGGGATGAAGAAAAGAGCAAACTACATAACATATCCCAAGCAGAAAGGTGTACAAAGCCAGTTGTGGCTTCTATGATTTTTTGTTTAATTTCACCCCCAATTGCACCCCCTCAGACGGCTCGACAACCTCCAGCATGGTATCAGGCATAAAGAAAATAGCTATCTTCATAACATATCTCAAGTAAAAAGGTGTACAAAGCCATTTGTGGCTTCTGTGATTTTTTTTAATTTCATCCCCAATTGCACCCCCTCAGACGGCACGACAAACTCCAGCATGCTATCAGGGATGAAGAAAAGAGTAAACTACATAACATATCCCAAGCAGAAAGGTGTACAAAGCTATTTGTGGTTTCTGTGATTTTTTGTTTAATTTCACCCCCAATTGCACCCCCTCAGACGGCTCGACAAACTCCAGCATGGTATTAGGCATTAAGAAAATAGCTATCTTCATAACATATCTCAAGTAAAAAGGTGTACAAAGCCATTTGTGGCTTCTGTGATTTTTTTTTAATTTCATCCCCAATTACACCCCCTCAGACGGCTCGACAAACTCCAGCATGCTATCAGGGATAAAGAAAAGAGCAAACTACATAACATATCCCAAGCAGAAAGGTGTACAAAGCCAGTAGTGGCTTCTATGATTTTTTGTTTAATTTCACCCCCAATTGCACCCCCTCAGACGGCTCGACAAACTCCAGCATGGTATCAGGCATAAAGAAAATAGCTATCTTCATAACATATCTCAAGTAAAAAGGTGTACAAAGCCATTTGTGGCTTCTGTTAATTTTTTTTAATTTCATCCCCAATTGCACCCCCTCAGACGGCTCGACAAACTCCAGCATGCTATCAGGGATGAAGAAAAGAGCAAACTACATAACATATCCCAAGCAGAAAGGTGTACAAAGCCATTTGTGGCTTCTATGATTTTTTGTTTAATTTCACCCTCAATTGCACCCCCTCAGACGGCCCGACAAACTCCAGCATGGTATCAGGCATAAAGAAAATAGCTATCTTCATAACATATCTCAAGTAAAAAGGTGTACAAAGCCATTTGTGGCTTCTGTGATTTTTTTTTTAATTGCATCCCCAATTACACCCCCTCAGACGGCTCGACAAACTCCAGCATGCTATCAGGGATAAAGAAAAGAGCAAACTACATAACATATCCCAAGCAGAAAGGTGTACAAAGCCAGTAGTGGCTTCTATGATTTTTTGTTTAATTTCACCCCCAATTGCACCCCCTCAGACGGCTCGACAAACTCCAGCATGGTATCAGGCATAAAGAAAATAGCTATCTTCATAACATATCTCAAGTAAAAAGGTGTACAAAGCCATTTGTGGCTTCTGTTAATTTTTTTTTTAATTTCATCCCCAATTGCACCCCCTCAGACGGCTCGACAAACTCCAGCATGCTATCAGGGATGAAGAAAAGAGCAAACTACATAACATATCCCAAGCAGAAAGGTGTACAAAGCCATTTGTGGCTTCTATGATTTTTTGTTTAATTTCACCCTCAATTGCACCCCCTCAGACGGCCCGACAAACTCCAGCATGGTATCAGGCATAAAGAAAATAGCTATCTTCATAACATATCTCAAGTAAAAAGGTGTACAAAGCCAGTTGTGGCTTCTATGATTTTTTGTTTAATTTCACCCCCAATTGCACCCCCTCAGGCGGCTCGACACTCCAGCATGGTATCAGGCATAAAGAAAATAGCTATCTTCATAACATATCTTAAGTAAAAAGGTGTACAAAGCCATTTGTGGCTTCTGTGATTTTTTTTTAATTTCATCCCCAATTGCACCCCCTCAGACGGCTCGACAAACTCCAGCATGGTATCTGGGAGAAAGAAAAGAGCAAATTACATAACATATCGCAAGCAGAAAGGTGTACAAATCCATTTGTGGCGTCTATGATTTTTTTTTAAATTTCATCCCCAATTGCACTCCCTCAGACGACTCGACAAACTCCAGCATGGTATCTGGGATGAAGAAAAGAGCAAACTACATAACATATCGCTTGCAGAAAGGTGTACAAAGCCATTTGAGGCTTCTATGATTTTTTTTATTTCACCCCCAATTGCACCCCCTCAGACGGCTCGACAAACTCCAGCAAGCTATCATGGATGAAAAAAAGAGAAAATTACATAACATATCCCAAGCAGAAAGGTGTACAAAGCTATTTGTGGCTTTTGTTTTTTTTTAATTTCATCCCCAATTGCACCCCCTCAGACGGCTCGACAAACTCCAGCATGGTATCAGGGATGAAGAAAAGAGTAAACTACATAACATATCCCAAGCAGAAAGGTGTACAAAGCCATTTGTGGCTTGTATGATTTTTTTTTAAATTTCACCCCCAATTGCACTCCCTGAGACAAAGCAAAAGTTAATTGCGGGTATGGTTGCTGTGCATTGAAACCTCCCCAATTGAAATCTACAAATGAAAAGCCTCTACAGGTAATTTGAACCAAGTTATATGACTATTACGAAAGAGTTATATTTTTCTCAGTGTACATTTGTGGATGTGGATAACTTCACATCCGTTATATATGTTAGTTTTATTCAAAGTATATGGGTTTTTAAAACAAGTGAAACATTAATTTATTATTATTATATATTTTAATCACTTAAACTAAAAAAAATTAAGTATATTCATTAAAAATCAATAATAAAATAAAGGCAGGCAACAGTATTTACGGGAAAATGTATGAGCCTAAGTATAATAAGTTGTCTTTGAAGAATTAACCTATTCTGTCAAAATAAAAAAATATCTTTAAATAATTAGCATGAAGTTAAAATGTATAAACAGAAGGATTGTTTTTTATATTTTCAATTTTGTTAGAAAGAAAACAGAATGAATAATTAAAACTGGTTTCCTATCAGTAAATCACAAAATTGCATTCCAACCACATACAATAATCAAAGGCCGAAATATAGTTCTTGCTGCATGAACATTTAAGAGTAAAGGGATGTTGAAGAACATTGTGAAATGATATTTATTGTTAATTTAAAACCTTCCAAGTTTCTGATATCTACTATTTCCAGTATTACTGTTATTATTACAAAAATAAAGGTAATTTTTCTTCTTATTGTACACAGATCCATTTATTTCTTTGATTTAATTTCCACTTTCGCTACTGAAATTTTTTATAATTTATACTGTTTTTTTGCTAGTATTTTTACAATTTTCAACACAGCAACTCCGCAGATGCTTATTGTATTGTTTTTAACTACTTTTTAAAAAAAAAAGTAAAATATATACATGTATGAATATAAAATGCATGAATTATCCGCAGTTAGCACTAGAATCACTTTTGCTTCCCCTACCATAACTTCACACTGAGTGAATAGGTTTTCATGAATATCAGAGTTGTTTTAATTTATGGAAATTACTTTTTGCATACATGATACATTTATAAATACCTATGTTATATAATGAAATATAAAATGTAAGTATGTCTATAATCAAGATTAAAAATTAAATGAATTATTCTCTTGAGAAATGAAAACTCTGAAAGCGATAACCTAACTGCCCTCTCCACAAAATAATATAAGATATACAAGAATACACAATAGCATAATAAACATGTATTAATTATTGGTTGCAGAAGTATTTATAGTTCAAGTATAGCAAAATAGTTGTAATTCAGTTTTTTACATGTATTATTAATATTTGTATTCCAGCTCATATTACTATCCAAGTGAATACCTAGGAATTTTGTTGTACTAGAAAAGGCAACGAAATAAATAAATAAATAAATAAATAATAAGTACCACAAGTACATTTTCTTGCACAGTGAAAGACCCCTTGACCTGTACATAAGTATTTTTATGTTAAGAAATATTTACTCTTGTAGTTTACTGATAAAATTAAGTAGGAGTAGAGTACAGCGTTAACATGTATATCATGCAGGGTTTTCAAAAATAGTTTCAAATTAAAATGTATAGGTGAGAGCACTTTGAGTACTTACTATACTTTTAACACTAAAGAGTAAACCACTATATTTTATATGTAGATACATGTAGTTAGTATTAGCCCACAGTAATGTTAAAAGTAAATCCGACACAGTTAAATTTGTCTTAGATTATAACTCTCGAGGCCATAGCTTCATGCAGTGTTTAGATAATACTGAACGTTTAAACGTTTAAAAAAATAGTTTTATTTTCAAACTAATAAAAAAAAAATAAAGTTATGTAGCAGTAATTAAACGTACCTATATTTATAGTTAAAATTATCCGTATGATATTGACGGATGAATTCCTTAAACTTCTTTTTAACGGCTTGCAAATTAATTTGATCAGTGTCTGCTGGAGTATCATCTTCTGCAAAATTGGAACTATAATACATTCCTGGATCATCGTAACCTTCCATTTTTTAATAGAAACAAATTCTTTTTGAATTAATATTAAACCAAGAAATCCTAAATCAATATAAAACTAAGAAATTTGAAATTAAAAACTAGCAACACAAGACCCAATAACAATGAGCACAAAAATATAATTTGGCGGGAACTAGACGCTGGGGTTGTCAGTTGTCATATTGTTTCAATGTCAAAAGTGTACACTTTGACGTTCGATTGTACCACGGTGATTGTACTGGAGTGGGGTAGAATGGTTGTCAATAGGCTTGAGATGCGACATCTATGGATGCGACTCTATGGGCAAAGACAGGTTATTTTTCATCTCACTCAGGAGTATTTATAACAACCATTTTCTATTTCACTTTGTTATTGTCTGATCCACCAGCTTGTGGATTGAACAATAACAATGTGAAATAGAAAATGGTTATTATAAATACTCCCGAGTGAGATGAGAAATAAAAATGGCTCGCCCATAGAGTCGCATCTTGTTCTATTGATACAATATGCACATTGGCTTTCTACCCCACTCCAGTTCATTGGTTTATCCGCATCACACACATCTACTACATCTACCTGCGTTTGTTTATCTCAGATGCAGCTATCTAGTAAATTACATTTTTAACACGCTTATATTAGCTTCACCTGTAAGTATGTATGTATGTTTCTAACTCTCCTTTGGACTCAATAAGTGGCTTATTACTGTCAGTATATCCCACTAAAGTCAAGTTCGTTCGTTGGCCGAGCGGTCTAAGGCGCGGGTTTTCGATTGCCAGACTCACCGATCGTGGGTTTTAATCCCCACGGCAATTTCAACTTACAAATTTTTTTTTTAATAATTAATCGAACTAAAAAGTAAAAAATAAATATAGTTTAAAAAAACTAAAAAACACGCTTTTAGAGCATATCAAACTAAAAAGTTAAATAATAATTTTTTTTAACACGCTTTTATTCAAATAAGCTTAAAACAATAATAAATGGAAAATACTAGTATTATTGTGAAAAAAGCGTGGACCGCTTTGTCCATATTTTTCGTACATCGAGTGCCCGGCACACAACATCTCAGATGCATCTGATGTGGATATTCAAACGCGGCAGGTAAAGAGAGGTTCTGCGTGACGTCATAAATATACATATGGCAATAGTGCATTTTAGAAATAGATTTGACAAACTTAGCTATCCTGTTTAATAGTAGTTTTTATGGCATAAAAATGTTAAAATAGTGCCATCCTGTGGTGCGATCTTTCACTCTGCACGTGGCACTCTGCATCCTGAAGTTTCCAGACTTTTCTAGACAAATAGGAAGCTTCGTTAATATGGCATAATATAAAATTTATCATTCTCTTTAGGTAAAATAATATTGATATTTCTAAATAAATTATTTTTAAACTATTGGTATTCATAAATAATAGCTTATTTTTTGAATTGGCTTAAAAATAATTTTCTTATTCATATTTCCCGGGAATTTTGACAGTATGCCCTCAAGCGGCGAAAATGTGACAATCAAAGTGTCAGTTTTTTTTTCAGTCGTGTGATATGCTCAAGGTGTGACTTTAGCGTGTGTATTTGAGTTGTGTTGAGTTTTATATGAAATTTTTCACGAATAACGTCATGGTGGCGAAGTTGTGAATATTTTTTCCACAGCATTTGATGGATCCTTCTATCTCCTGGCTGCAACCAGAACAAGAAGGACCCGCCAAGCAACTGTGGCTTCGTATTTGGCAGACTCAACAAGAATCTGATAATATGAACTTAAAAGAGGGTGACAGTGAGTTAGAAACTATTACCAACGGCTACACAACCCACAGAGTTGGATTAATGAATGGAAAAACCGATAAAAATGCTACTTTCTCCAGGAGACGGAAAGATAACAGACCCGTAACCAGGTCTGTCCATCGGAAATTGAGTAGCGATTACGGAGGATGTCCTTGGAGGCAGCCCAACTTTCCCTATCAAAAGGGTGTAGTGGGGTAAGTCACTTAAGAAAAACGTGCAAAATGCATTGCTTTTCTAACCATAAAATTTTCATTTGACTTTATTTTAATTCGCTTAACTGTCATTAGATGGCCTTGGATCTTTGCCGCTTTTTGACATTAATAGATACCCGGTGCTTCCGAAACTTGCTTTTAAGGTCATACTGAATTTTTTTATCTACATGTCCGGTTTCGTTTTTATCACAGATTCCTCTAATTTTTCATGTTCTTGGACATCGGAAGTTGGGACTTTTACATTAACCCATTACAAAGTATATTTGTTGACTTATTTCTTGTTTTACCCACTATTCATAATTTACCTACTTGTTTGTAATTCCCCAATTTATAAGTGGACTTGTACTAAGTAAATGAAGGAAAACAATAAAACACCTTTTTTTCAATGATTTATTAACAAAATTATAAACACGAATCTTAAAATAAATAGAGGGCGTCCCTACGCTTTTGATACTTATGAATTTCGGATTAAAAATTTAAACACTAAAAAGTACCTAACCACCCATTATATAGAATAAAGGTGCCTGTAGTCAGCCTGAATTAGTTTTAAGTATTAATATAAACATAGATTGGTAAAGTTGTAGAAGAGATATGTACTAACGCACACTCGGAGAGCTTCCTTTTCAAGGGTTTAATGTTCTTAGTGTATAAAACTCTATGACAACAAAAAAGAATAACTGATAATGGTCTACAATTGACAAGACAAAAGACAAGAACTCTGTGCACCTGATATCGAGCAAGTGCTCGAGGGGAGAAAGGAGAACATGTAGGAGTTGATTCAGATCAACAAGCACTGTTAAAAGAGAAGGGTCGTTTAGAATCAGGAACAGCTCTAGTACTGCTCATGAGTAACCCAGATTACATAAAAGAAAGCACTCACTGATGCCCATGTATGGGCATATGTAAACATTCAAATATTTAACAGCATTGTTGTCATGTCATAATATTTAGAAATAGATAAGTACTTTTAGTTTTACCACTGAATATGTTCGTTACTTCATAGACTTCATTCAAAAGAAGTATTACTTACCATCTTTTTAATGACATTTGAGAGTACTGTTACTGTCTGCCTCTTTAATCAAATGTTTTACATATTATAATTTTTCTCTCTTTGTTTTACTTAGTATTTGTGCATATAACATATTTTTTACTTGTTGTAAAATGGGGCTTTCCCATAAATAAATAAAAGATGAACAGAGTTTGAAAGTTTGAAGGTTTAAAGTGAGAATAATAGCTTAACCTTACATATTAAATTAAAACTCATACTAACACTGCATCCGCTAACTATTATTCTAAAACTATAGGGATGAATTAGGGTGTGTTTTTTATCCCTATAGTTTTTGTGTACTATTTTTTTTGCAAAAATGTTTTTTTCCATTTTTTTACATAAAAATCTAATGTGTGCAAAACATGACTTTCCTGTCTTTTTATTTCAAGCTTTTTCCGGTTATTTTGTACAACCTACTGTATATTACATCTGTAAATGTTTAGAGATTTTCCACACACATCTTACTCCAAATATTTTTTACATTTATTTATTGCCAACGAAAATACGGAACATTTAAAATTTTACCCTTTTTTTCAAATTTTTCCATTACCGTCCATTTTAAAGATATCTCATGTATAGAACAAAAATTATAGAGAATTTTGCACTTTTTGTCAAATTTCTCGAATATGTACCATTTTGAGAAAAATATGTATAGGAAAAAAATTATAGAAAATGTAAAAAGTGTAGATAACATATTGATATGGAAACACCCTGTATGTGAATTCCAACAAAAATATAAAATCTCAAATGGGGCAGGTTCAAAATCTAGAAAAGTAAATTACAATAAGAATTTTGATAATAAAAAATTTAAATTAAAAAATATTCTTCTGTTTTCTGCCCTGGCTACTCTCTATTCGGTCTGCGGAAAAAAATATGCAGTTTAGAGTAAATCCACATTTTAACAAGCCTTCCAAAAAATCCCGGCGGTCTCATGAAATTTACCCCCCCCCCCCTCCCCCTAAAATTTTTTGTTTTCCATATTTGCAAAATAAAATATCACTAATTAAAAAATGTTGTGTTTAGTCATCAGAAAATATAAAAATAGGGATAAATCCTAACCTAACCTATACGGCCTGGAGACATTGGGATTACCTCACAAAAAAATTAACAAAATGAGAAGAAACCTAACTAATTTACCTAATCTGTGATACTAGGTTCAATCGCAGGTTATTTCTTCAAAAAATTATAAAAAAAAACCTAACTAATTTACCAAAAAAATCTGATGTGTCCAACACATGACTTTCCTATCTAGTTATTATAGGCTTTTTCCGGATATTTTGTACAACCTATTGCAGCACATCTACAAATGTTTAGAGGATAAACTAAACATATACATTGTCCACATACATCTACCTCTAAACATTTTTCTATAGATATTCATTGAAAACGAAAATACTGAAAAAATTATAGAGATCGATATCGCAAACAACTTTTAGTTCAACAATTTTCATAAAAATCAGAATTTTGCACATTTTGTCAAATTTCTCGAATACGGACCATTTCAGGAAATTTTGACAAAAAAGTAACTTTTATTTGAACAATTTTTTTCTCCAAACATAAATAACATATATTCCATAAAATATGAAAACGGCCTCCCATAAAGTACCCCCTCAGATGTTCCGACTTTGTCCAAAATCTAATCATTTCACGTCAGGCCGAAATAAAACTTAAGTTTAAAATTTAATGTTTTTTTCTTTATCCGTTTTTGAGTTTTCTTCAAATTTTGAAATTTACACATTTTCTCAAATATCTCGAATACGGTCCATTTTAGAGAAATTATGTATAGGATAAAAATGACAAAGAATTATATTACAAACAACTTTTATTTGAACAATTTTTATAAAAAAATACTTTTTTACATTTCGTCAAATTTTAGAAAAATTTTGTATAGAATAAAAATTATAGATAATATAAGAAGTAACTTTTATTTGAAGAATTTTCTTCCCCAAACGACGTAAATAACAGATATATTCCATAAAATATAAAAATGACCACCTTTAAAGTACCCCCCAGATGTTCCAACTCTGCTCAAAATCTAATTAGTTCATTGGACGGTGGAACAAAGCTTAAGTTTAAAATTTGGTGTTTTTCTGTGTATCAGTTCATGAGTTATGCGACACACACACACGCGCACACCAACACGCACACACCAACACGCACACACCAACACGCACAAACACACATGCATACACACATGCATACACACACATGCACGCACACACATGCACGCACACACACACACGCACACACACACACGCACACACACACACACGCACACCAACACGCACACCAACATGCACACCAACACATGCATACACACACACATACACACGCGCACAGACATACACACACACACACACACACGCGCACAGACATACACACACACGCGCACAGACATACACACACGCGCACAGACATACACACACAGACATACACACACAGACATACACACACGCACACATACATACACACACGCGCGCGCGCGCACAGACACACACGCGCGCGCGCACACGCGCGCGCGCACACACACGCGCGCGCGCGCGCACAGACACACACACACGCGCACAGACATACACACACACGCGCGCGCGCACAGACATACACACACACGCGCGCGCGCACAGACACACACACGCGCGCGCACAGACATACACACACACGCGCGCACAGACATACACACACACGCGCGCGCGCGCACAGACATACACACGCGCGCACAGACATACACACACGCGCACAGACATACACACACGCGCGCGCACAGACATACACACACGCGCACAGACATACACACACACGCGCGCGCACAGACATACACACACACGCGCGCGCGCACAGACATACACACACACGCGCGCGCGCGCACACAGACATACACACACACACGCGCGCGCACAGACATACATACACACGCGCGCACGCGCACAGACATACACACACGCGCGCGCGCGCACAGACATACACACACACGCGCACAGACATACACACACACGCGCACAGACATACACACACACGCGCGCGCGCGCACAGATATACACACACGCGCACAGATATACACACACGCGCACAGATATACACACACGCGCACATACACACACACGCGCACAGACATACATACACACGCGCACAGACATACACACACACGCGCGCGCGCACAGACATACACACACGCGCGCGCGCGCACAGACATACACACACACGCGCACAGACATACACACACACGCGCGCGCGCACAGACATACACACACACGCGCGCGCGCGCGCGCACAGACATACACTGTGACGAAGTCACTAAAATTCCCATTAATTTATTCCATAAATTGATTTCCGTCTCTGAACATTTGTAAGACTAATATTTCCATAGAATTACCGTTTTTAAACCTTTGCAAGAGCCCTCGTAGTTTAAAACTTTTCATTATCACAATAAATTGAGTCGTGTCGTAAAATCGCAATTCTGGTAGGTTTATCAGTAAGCTGATCAATTAACGTTTTTTTTTGCAAAACAACTTATTTCCTCTGAGTAGGAATTACCGTCCCCACTCCGGTTAAAGTACGACTTTTGATAAAAGTAGATGTTTTCGATGAGAGAGCCCTTTTTTCCACGCCGTCTGTGCTCGCTTCTTAAAATCGTTTTATTGAGAGTGCCGGATTTCAGTGAACACCGTTATTTTTTTCAAGACAGAAGTTAATCAAGGTAGGCCTTTTATTTAAAATTCCGTCTAATAATTCTCCCTGCAACATTCATTTCCGTTTCTATTAATTACCTAAGAAATTCGACCAGTATTTTGGATTTCTTAGTACCTGTCAGGGTAACAAATTGGATTTAGATCCGGGGGCTTTAGCACCCTTCAACCATTTTCGCGTTAATCAGGGGGTGATAGTGGTATTCGCTTGCTTCCTCCGTCGAGAATCAGAGCTGTTTCTCTTTTGTAGA